GGATCGCAACCCTCAGTGTTGCCCCCGTACCGGACCGGGGACCGGCAACGAGACTGCAAACCTCGGTGTTGCTCCCGCGCCTTGCTCAGCCAGTGAGCGGAACTGGTCTTCTCTCCCCTTTTTTAAGATAATGAATACAGTATAATTTTTTCTTTTGAGTAAATGTAAGGGCATGTCTGTAGGATGGGTTTATAGAAGCAGAATTTATAGGAAAAAGGGTATGTTCATTTAAAATTTTTATAGATACTGCCAAGTTGCTTTCCATAAAGGCTGAACCAATGTATGCTCAACATGAAAGTGCTTATTTCCCATTTACTCTTAACACTGGATATTTTGAATCTTTCTCCTCTGTGATTTGCATATCTATATTCTCTGCTCATTTTTCTTTTCTATGATTTGCTTTATCTTGTTGCTTTTCTTGTTCTATGGATGTTAAGCCTTTACNATGCTTCTTCTGTCACTCTGGAAGGGCTTTGTGGAGAGAGACATCCTCTTCTTTGTCTCTGCTGGTGACTCTTCTTGTGTGAATGCACTCCAGTGATTGGCAGACCATCTGTGTGGTGGCTGTGGAGTCTAGCCGCTTTTGCAGCAGCCATGGTTATTGTGGTGGCTGTGGTGGGGCACCCATGTGGAGGTGCTGTTTTTGGTATGCTCCTTGGTACTTGTGGTATGCCTGGTTGTGGGGTGTGTTTGGTCCCCTTCTCAATGCCTTTGGTCCCTGGGCAGGCCCCAAGGTGCTGGCACCCTGTGCCTGGTTGTGGGAGAGGGGTCCAGTCCCTTTCTCCATGTCCCGGGTCCCTGGGCAGGCCCCAAGGTACTGGTGCAGTGTGCCTGGTTGTGGGAGGAGGGTCCGGTCCCCTTCCCCATGCCTCGGGTACCCAGGTGGGCCCTGAGGTGCTAGCGTTTTGTGCCTGGTGTGGGAGGAGGGTCCAGTCCCCTTCTGCATGCTTCTGGGCCGGGTGGGCCCTGAGGTGCTGGCACAGTGTCCCTGGTTGTGGGAGAGAGGTCCAGTCCCCTTCTCCTTGCCTCGGGTCCCTGGGTGGCCCCTGAGGAACTGGCATGGTGTGACTTGTTGTGGGAGGAGGGTGTGGTTCCTGGCTCCATGCCTCGGGTCACTGGGTGGGACCCAAGGCGCTGGCTTGGTGTGCCTGATTGTGGGAGAGAGGTCCAGTCCCCTTCTCCATGCCCTGGGTCCCTGGGTTGGCTCCGAGGTGCTGGCATGTTGTGCTGGGTTGTGGGAGGTTGGTTGGCCCCCAACTCCATACCCTGGGTCCCTGGGTGAGCCCCAAGACGCTGGCTCAGTGTGCCTGGTTGTGGGAGAGAGGTCTGGTCCTTTTCTCCTTGCCTTGGGTCCCTCGGCAGGCCCCAAGGTGCTGGCATAGTGTGCCTGGTTGTGGGAGGGGGGTCCAGTCCCCTTCTCCATGTTTCAGGTCCCCCGGCTGGCCCCGAGGCACTGGTGCAGTTTGCCTGGAAGTGGGAATGGGGTCTGGTCCCCAGATCCAAGCCTCCAGTTCCCAGGCAGGCCCCAAGGTGCTGGTGGTGTGCCTGGGCTGGAACTAATTTTTTTGTCCTTTGCTTCTAACACAGGGGAACTTCCTGTGGGAACCAGTACTTGAGCTGTGTGGTTGTTTAAATTGCTACTTTGCTGCTGTTTCCCTAGGGTAAGGCTTTTTGTGCAGCTCAGGATTTAATGGTTGACCTTTTAGGTACTTCCGGCTCTCCAGAGACCTGGTAGGTCTGTGTTCTGTAGAATCTCTGATCTGGGCCTGAGTTTTTTCATCAAGCTGCACCCCATGCAATTCTGCATTCCTGACCATTCTCCTCTGTGTGGTCCTGTGCTGATTGGGGGGCAGATCAGCTGTCCTTGCTGTGTCCCAGTGTTCCCCTGGTGGGCCTGTCTCCCCCACCGCCTGTGCTCCAAACACTTCCCATGGGATGGGCCCTGTGACTGTCCCTTGTGATGACTCACCAGCCTCTGAGTGGCTCCCTTTGCTGTTCTGGCTCCTCACTCCTGTGTGGGTCCACGGGAACCCTGTTAGTGGTCTTGCTGTCCTGGGGGCCGCCAAAGCCCTCTTCTCTCCTGCTGCCTCCAAGTAACTCCATCTGAAGGGTACAGCTGCGGCTTCTGCCGGCTCCTGCTCCATGTGCTCAGCAGCTCGAGTCTTAAAGCAGCTGCGGCCCGAAATGCTCAGAGCAGCTTTTTCTTTCTCTTTTCGTCGTTTCTCCCACCTTCATTAACTCCATAGGTCTCTCCTCCTCTTCCCCTGAGCTCCAGTGGCCCCAGCTTGGCTGATGTTACATTCTGATAGTTGTAAATTTGGTTGAGTTGTGGGAGATAGTGATGCTGGGAACCGTCTATTCCGCCGTCTTGATTGGATCTCTCCCATTTCTACTCTCTTTTCCCATTTACTCTTAACACTGGATATTTTGAATCTTTCTCCTCTGTGATTTGCATATCTATATTCTCTGCTCATTTTTCTTTTCTATGATTTGCTTTATCTTGTTGCTTTTCTTGTTCTATGGATGTTAAGCCTTTACATGTTGTAAATATTTCACTTCAAACTATCTCTTATCTTAACTAAATTTACTTTTCCCTGAAAACCCTCTCTACTAACTTTGCTGAAACTATCTAGAATTTTAGCTACAGATTTTTTTTTTTTTGGTTATTTTTCACATATTCCCTTCAATTTTCTCTTAACAATGACTTCAATTTTTATAGACACATTTGAAAAATGATTGCAAGTTCTTCTGGTATTCATGCTGACCAAAGTTCTTTGTAGTCTACATCTTTTTTATTTCTTTAATTCTTTCTTATGTTTTATCTTTTTTTTTTTTAAAAAAAAAAAACAGCTTATTGGGCCGGCCCGGTGGTGCATTGCTACAGTGCGCCGCTTGGGAGTGCGGTGGCGCTCCTGCCGAGGGTTCGGTTCCCACATACAGACCGGTTCCCGCTCACTGGCTGAGCAAGGTGCGGGCGCAGCACCGAGGTTTGCGATCCCGTTGCCGGTCCCGGTTCGGTACGGGAGCGGCACTGAGGGTTGCGATCCGTTGCCGGACACGAAGAAAGACAAGCAAGGTGCGGGCGCAGCACCGAGGTTTGCGATCCCGTTGCCGGTCCCGGTTCGGTACGGGCGCGGCACTGAGGGTTGCGATCCGTTGCCGGACACGAAGAAAGACAAAAAAAAAAACAAAACCAAAAAACAAAAACAACAACAACAACAAAAAACCCCCAGCTTATTAAGATATAATTTACATACTAGAAAATCATTCTTTAAAAGTGTGTAATTCAGTGTTTTTTACTATATTTACAAAGCTGTGCAGTCATCATGCATTATCTTTTAACTGGAGAAGTTCTTTAAAAAATATTTTAGAGTATTATGTCTGCAAATATTTCTTTTGTCTTTATATTACTGTCAGTTTTTTGGAGGGGGCGGATTTAAACTTATTGAGTTTTATAAACCTTTTTCACTCATAATTCCATATACATTGTTTCATTCACTTTTGCAGATGAGAATTCTGATGCCAAATTAGAAATGATGTCAGTCTAATAGTTTTTATTTTATAGGTTTTGTTTTATAAAATCTCAGAGTTCATAGGATTTGCTTTTTATCTTTGGATTTGGGAAATGTCAGCAATTATTTTTTTCAGAAATCTTGCCTAGCACTTGGTAGCTCTTTCAGTTTGAAGACTTAAGTCCAGTGAAATTTTCTTCTGTACTTTCTTTGATTTTTGCTTCTGTAATGGTTATGTTTTCTTTTAATTCACTATTTTGATTTTCAGCATTATTTGTTACTCTAACCTTTTTCTGTATCATATAGAATTCAATCAAAAAATTTAATTTTGCAAGAGTAGATCTCAGATGCAGAGTAACAAAGGCTTGAAAACAAAAGCAGATTTTGTGAAGAGAGGAGGAAAGTATTAGAGATTTTTAGGAGTCAGGTGGGTTTATAGTTAGTTTTAGGCAGATTCCAGGCTTCAGCATTCATTAACTCTGATACAGCCTCATCTATAAAGAGAGAACATTATTATCTTTATGGTATAGTTGTAAGTATTAGATTATAACAGTTTTTTAAAAAAAATAACCAGGCACTTTACTGACTACTTTTATTTATTCTTCAAAACAACACAAGAGATGGGATTATTATTATTATTTTAGATTGTTCAGATGAGGATGTTGTGATTCCTAGGCAGTTAAGTGGCTTGCCCATGATTTCCTAGCTAATTAGAATTAAAGTAGGGATTAAATAAAAATTAATCTGAAATCGTCCCTCTTAATCCACTTGAAATATTATAATAATAGTTCAATTGAATTTATTGCAAATATATTACTATTTGAATGGATCTATATGTGATTTGATTGCTATCATCTTAAAAAAATTATAATCTATTCATGGTACACTTTTGCTTAAAATACAGCATTGACTTAATTATCTACACAATAAAATCTGGATCCGCAAATGAGACCAAGTGAGACCTAACTTAAAGATTAAAAAACTGGAGTCAGTGGGTCTGTGAACTCCTTGGAAACCCTTGGAATTAAATGTAAATGTGATGTATATGCTTTTTTCCCTCAGGTTCTACTGCTTTCATAAAGGGGTGGGGGGCCCAAATTAGTTAAAAATTGTAGATCTGTCATGAATTTTATCCTCTCTAGAACTCTAGTCATATGACAAATAAATCATTACTTAAGGAAAACCAGTATAGCTTCACATGCAAAAAAGGATTATTTAATGAGTCCATAATTTTCAGAAGAAATTCAGTCAGAAGTCCAATCAACACTGATCATTTAAAATGAGTACCATTTCACCTAATCTCATTTTTTAAAAAAATTTTATTTTATCATTACAGAGTGTAAATATTTTTTGCATTTCAACTAATCTTTAAGCTCAGGGAGTAGGCTTATGATGTGATCCCTAGACTTTCTCCAGCTTTATATGAATGGAATCATTTTAGCTTATGTCAGACTTTAGAGCTGATTTCCGGTTGCATAAACATTGAAGGCTAGCAGACAAGAAGCCTTCTGAACATATTGAACAGTGTAGACCAAAGGAAACCCCCTATGACAGGTATTAGACACTGGATTTTCAGAACTGCCCATCAGGTGATGATGAGAATTTATCTGCTAAACATAGCTACAGATATGAGATATGGTCTTATGTGTCATCTGGCACAGGCCTGGGTCAGAGTCACAGGGGTTTGTATCATCCCTAGGAAGTGACTTTCAAAAGACAGGACTGCAACCTTGAGACTTGGTGAGTTAGCTTTAGAGACTACCTATTTAGAGGAGTCAGATCCCACTGAAGCTCAGAGGAGACCCTGTAGGCTCTGCTGTCTGTGACTGAGGCCAGACTTTCAACCTAGGAACAGGTTCTTGATAAATTGGTTATAGAGCAGTTATGAGTTCTGTGTTGAAGGATCTTTAGGAGTTTAAAGGAAAGTGTTGCGAGGAATTGTGAAGAACTGGAGGATATACTGGAAGATACTATTCCTTATAGTCCAGGATCCTCAGCTACAGAAAGGTTCTGATTCTGTAAAAGTGAATGGTGTGAAGAATTGCAAAGAAAGTTTATTTGAAAAGTATGGATGTTAAGATATCTTGTTCCTAAGCTTTTGAATAAGATGAGTCTACAAACTCAGAGTATTAATAGAGAAGGTTCTCTGTAGAATCTGAGAAGTCCCAAAGGAGGAAAACAAGGCAATACTTGTGCTACCCAAGGAGGGCCTCGAGAAGACACCATGCAGTCAGACCTCCCTAAGACAATTACAGTTTATTCCAGTTTTTGAAACAATTTTTCCATTTTAATTTTTATTGAGTCGAGGTGGAATTACCTGGCCATTTTGTTGGTCAAAGTACCATGGAATTGACACAATACCAATGTAGGGGATGCGAGCAAAGCTAAGTCTCGATTTGACATTCATCAGAGAACACACACAGGAGAGAGAATTTTTATGGGAAAGGCTTCATGCAGTGTTGAGACTTCTGTGTTCACCAGAGGATCCACATAGGAGAGAAACCATACATGAGTGACATCTGTCACAAAAGATTCATCTGTGAGTTTATATTGTATGGTCATAAGAGGACCCATATGAAAGAGAAAACATACCAGTGTAAATACTGTGGAAAATGCTTCAATGGCAAGAGAAACCTCAACACTCCCCAAAGAATCCACTTAGGAACTAAATAAGCCATATGAGTGTCTATAGCAGTGCTGTGAAATAGAAATATAATGTAAGCCACAAATGCAAGCCACATGTAATTTAAAATTTTGTAGTAGCCACATTAAAAAAGTAAAAAGAAACAGATGATGTTAATTTTAATAATACATTTTATGAAACCCAATATATTAAAAATATTATTTTAACATGTAATCAATATAAAAATTATACATGATATTTTACATTCTTTTTTATGTCCTAAGTCTTTTAAATCCAGCATGTATTTTATACTTACTATACATTTCAATTTGGACTAACCATATTTCTGGTGCTCAGTAGCCATATGTAGCTGTTGGCTACTGTATTGGACAGTGCAGGTCTACTGTGTGGCTAAAACTTTTACCAGTTGGAAGACTTTAATGCCATAAAAAAATATACTCAGTAATATCTCACATAAATGCCGCAAATTATATCTAAGTAAGTCCAAGTCTTTTTTTTTTTTTGTCCTTTTTGAGACCGGCCGCACTCAGCCAGTGAGCGCTGTGAGCGCACTGGTCATCCCTATATAGGATCCGAACCCGCGGCGGGAGCGCTGCTGTGCTCCCAGCGCCGCACTCTCCCAAGTGCGCCACAGGCTCAGCCCGAAGTCCAAGTCTTATCCTAACCCCCAAATAGAGTTAACAGTGATTTGTAACCTACTGGGTTCTGAAAAGTAAATGACATAATACATGTCAAGCACTTTGGAGAGTGCTTAGATTACAGTAGATGCTCAATAAATATTAACAATCATAATTAAAAAATAATTACATGTTTCATTAACAAATAGTCTTTTTATTTCTAAGATTTATTTCTAGTTTCCAGGGAGATCCTTATTTAAAAAGGGCACGCTATTTTTCTTTTTGATATATTATCCTTCTACCTCTTACAGAAAATAAGGAAAACATTTAACATGCTTTTCCCCATCCACTAACTCTGTTTTAATGGGATTTATTTGCTCTAATTGGTCCCCTGGCTCACTTTTTGACTGGATGATCTATTTCATATGTCTGGTTATTTTTCATGGTCTGCTAATATTTATAAATAAAAGATTTGATCATTCAATACAGATAACTGATATGGTCACTTCCTGAAATTATGTGGGCTAATGTTTGTTTTTTTTTTCCTGATTGATTTTCCCCTAAGAGTGCATAGGGAAGTGATTGATAGGTTGGTGGTTTGATTCTTCGGCTCCATTTCTCCTCCTTTAAATGTGCTGGATGGTTCTTGGCTGTGGTGTAGAATGAGCTGGGTACCGGTGGGTGGCTGCTCTTTAATGTGGATAGCAAATGTTTGGTTATTTAAAAATGGTAGGATTAAGAACCTGATTAGAATATATTTACTTTATGTCTATAACATTTAACATGTTGTTATATTTCTTTACAGGAATACACATGGCTTGATAAAAGCCATTATGAAATTGTTACAAATGCAAGCTCTTAAGGAAGGACAGAGTGGGGCGAAGAATATTCAGAATATATATACTATCAGGTAAGCCTTTTCTCCTGTCTTTTTTTTTTTTTAAGGTGAATTGTTAACTAAGTTATAAATTGAGACATGATAATCCATTAAGAATTAGTTATTTAATTCAGCATGATGTGCACAAAGTGTTGTGGGTCTTGACCTCTCAGGAAGTTAGTGTTTCAAAGACTCAGAGGATTGAGATAGAATTGACAACATGCTTAGTATCACAAGTGTGGGTTTCAGGTTTGCTTTCTTGGAACGGAAATCTTTTGAAATCTGTTACCCAAAATTCAGGTTATTCTTTTGCTGTATAATGTGTTACTGTTGTCCCAGTACTATGAAAATTGAGGAGTTCATTGAGCAAATGTACTTAAAGCAGTAGAGGTTTAGGTTGAGTAAGAGGGTAAGCTTTCCTCACTGTAAAAAGTAATAGGAGACTGTCGTTTGTAAGTGTTATTAGCCAGGCCAAGGTTAGTAGTTAGGAGTGTTGATTTGCCTTTTCTTTGTTATCTATAGAACGTATTAAGGTAAAATTATATTAAAAATACGCACAGCAGCAATAATAATACATTGGATTTTATGGGGCAGTTGTGGGCAGTGGAGGGCATCATACTCACTTGCGAAGGTAACCTTACCCATTGCCTTGAAAGTCCCAGAAAGCCATTTATTAAGAGAGGGGTTCTCACTTAGCAGAGAACCCAGAAGTGTGTAACCGGTGTACGTTTTCCTAGGAACTCTTTTGAGGGATGAATTCAGAATGTGCTTGCTTAAAAGGAATGAGACCATGGAACTATAAACAAAGGGATTGATTCATGGGGGGAAGACAGCTTCCATGGGCTGTGGTGATTCAGCAGGGAAAGTAAATCAGGTACTTCTGAGCCATCATTGGCTTGAGCTTACAGCACCTGTAGTTTTGAGCATTTGACACCACAGCTGTCAGAAACTGTGAGAGTCTCTCCAAAAAATGAGTGGCGCCTCTTACCTATATTTATAGCACTTTCCTTTTGATAGTAAGGAAACAGTATCTTATATATTACAGTGATCTTTCCAGAAATTTTAGTGATGTTTGTGATCTCTTATTTTTATGAGTATATTATTGAGAGTTTCTTAAGTCATTTTTTTTTTCCTTTTTGTCTTTTTTACTGGCCGGTAACGGGATCGCAACCCTCGGTGTCGTGCCCGTACCGGGGACCGGCAACGGGATCGCAACCCTCGGTGTTGCGCCTGCACCTCGCTCAGCCAGTGAGCGGGAACCGGTCACCACATGGGATCCGAACCCTCAGCGGGAGCGCTGCCATGCTCCCAAGCGGCACACTCTCCAGTGCGCCACCGGGCCGGCCCATTAAGCCATTTTTTAAAAGGTCAGATTTGCATTTTATATATTTTTTCTTAACATATCTTCAAACATACAGTAAAGTTGGAAGGATGTGATGCAATAAATTAACTGATTCATTTTTATTTTTGTTTATTTTATTTTATTTTATTTTGTCCTTTTTTGAGACTGGCCACACCACGCTCAGCCAGTGAGCGCTGTGAGCCCACCAGTCATCTCTATATAGGATCCGAACCCGTGGTGGGAGCGCTGCTGCACTCCCAGCGCCGCATTCTCCCGAGTGCGCCACAGGCTCAGCCCAACTGATTCATTTTTAAATAGAGGAAGCAAAAGTTAATTTACTTATTTGAAAATATTGTGGTAACAGGGTGTGCAGGATAAAGTTTTCCCAATTGATAAATATGCTTTGCTTTTCTTTCTCTTTCTCTCTCTCTCTCTCTGTTTTCTTTCCTTCCTTCCTTTCTTTCTTTTAGTGGTACCCTTTGTGATGCAAGGTTTTAGTTTCAGGTTTCTTCTTCATCCATTGCCTTGACCAGAATTGAAACTGAAGAGCAGATGAGCAGATCTTAATATTTCTGGATAAACATCTGTGTTTCCTTATTTTTGAAAAGAAGTTCAAACTCTCAGGCCAGAGTTCCAGGATAGAAAATAATTTCATTTTGTTGTTCTTTAGGGATTGTTGGGAAAATATAGGAAAATGGTCAGAGCTCCCTCAGATATTCAAAATCTTGCTGATCATTTGATGTAAATATGCATGTGCACCCAGGTGTTCCTTGGTTATTGTCTGATGTAGATGTGTTTGGGCTCCTAGGTGTTCCTGGGTTGTCCAGCTTGCACCCAGGTGTCCTGGGTTATCAGATTTAAGTATAAAGAACGAGTGGCTCTGATCTACGGGTTCCCTGGGGTGGGGGCCCATGGGGAGGCCACTACTTCTGCTGGAGGCTGTTGCTGCCAGGGCCCCTGAGATGCCCCAAGAGGCTGCCACTGCTGCTGCTGGATCTGTAAGCTGCTGTTGCTACTGAGGATCTGAGGACTGAGCTCTGAGCTCATGTTGTCTGCCAGCAGCTCCCCGGATCTTTCCCAATTACCTAGCTTGTGGAACTGCATGTGAGGGGTCTGATGACCAAGCCAGGCATGTGAGGGGTCTGGTGACCCAGCCTGGCATGTGAGGGGTCTGTGACCTAGTCTGTACAACAGGTTTGAAGGGTCTGTGGGCCCTAGCCCTAGCAATACTATTGGCTATATGGGCAGGATTCTGACAATCGCCCTAGCCAGACAATTAGCATAACCATACAGGGGGGTTATTTATTTATTTATTTATTTATTTATAAATAGGGAAACTCTTGAAGTTTTAAATTTAATTTTTCCATGTTTTATTGAGATATAATTGACATACTATGTGATTGACCCATTTAAAGTGGTTTTCAGTGGCTTTTAGTATATTTACAGTTATTCAGCCATCACCATAATCAATTTTAAAGCATCTTTATCATCCTCCAAAGAAATTCCTCACCATTAGCAGTCACTCCATATTTCCCTCCCAGTAGGGAACTCAGTGGTTCTCAGCACTGGCTGCTTATCAGAACCACTTGGGTGTGCTTAAAAACAAACATGGGAACAATCAAATGCCCCAGACCAATTGAGTCAGAATCTCTGCTGTGAGGCCTAGTAGTTTTAAAAGTGTTCCCAGGTGATTCTGATTCCCAGTAAGTACAAGAAGGTATGTCAGCTGCTCTCTCATGTGCATACTAGTCATGTGGGGACCTTGTTGAACTGAAGATTCTCTCCTCAGGTCTAGGGTGGGCTCAAGATTCTTGTCTAACAAACACCCAGGTGATGCTGCTGCTGCTGTTGCCCTGGCACAGCATCAGCAGTACCTGGGAGCTTGTTAGGAATGCAGAATCTCGGACTCCATCTCAGACTGCTTGAATTAGAGCCTGCGATATACAGGGATTGTCCAGATAATTCATAGGCACCTTAAAGTTTAAGAAGCACCAGCTGAGATGATGGTAAAAGGAAGTTTTCTATCATGAAGAAGAATTAGGGTTACTCTCATTTTCGTAGTGATTGTCTTCATTGTGCGTTCTGGACCTTCAGTCATCAGTAACATTTCACCTATTTCCCTGTTTGTAGTTCATTTTCTCCTGTAGTTGGTTCTTATAACTGCAGTCTTGATTTCAAAAGGCAATAGGTGCAAGGTGTGAATAGGGAGCCTAGTTTGAAGAGCTGGAAATAATTGAATACAAAAGGTTTATCTTCAGATAGGTGACACATTAAGAGGTCCAGAATCAATCACCCGAGTTGGCATAATCCAGTAATGTTTATGGAGAGCCCTTACGAGAATGGTTGCTTGGCACTGTAAATCAGTAAAGTGTAATAGAGTGTATAAGAGCCTTAAGATCCTCCAGGGGGGATTGTGGATGGCAGAAACAGAGGAGAGGTGAAACTGAAGAGCAGATTCCCCTCAAGAGAGCTATGATTACCTGAGTCAGACATAAAATTGTCGTGCTGTTTTAGAGCCTTCTTTGCCACATATTGGTTAGCAATATCATCCAGCCTTGGAGAGGCAACCAATGAGCTGTGTATGAAAACATAAGTAGGATATGAGATGCTTAAAACTCCACTGAGAGGTGTTCTCTGGTTATGATTAATTTAAATTAGGACTATGATAAATAATTGCAAGTTTTCCGGGCATGAAGCTAAACTGTGTTTTTATGGTACTAAGGACTCTGCTAGTCATACAGTTGGGGTATAAGTATTTCTCACTTCTTTTTGCCCTGATAGTTGGTTAATTTGAATCACAGTAAAAAAGAATACTTAGTCATTTTAAATAGGTCTGTACTGAATTGCATAAGGGTGCCAGTATGGGAGTGGAGAGAGGGGATGTTAGCCAATAGGTTCCCTTGGGCCCTGTGAATTTCCTGAAGGAGCTCTAGAGAGGGTATTCTTTTTGTTATACCTAGAGCCTACTGATTCTCAAACTTGTTGTGCGTAAGAACCACCCAGGGAGCTTGTTAAAATCACAGCTTATGAATTCCATTTGCCAGAGATTCCCATTCACAGTAGGTTTTGTGTGAGACTCAGGAATCAGCATGTTTATCCAGTTGCTTAGTGATATGGATATAGGTCATCTGTGGATCACATCTGAGAAATGTTACTTCAGCCTCTGAGAGCTGTTGGCACCACATGTGAGTTGCAAGGACCCTCTTGGGTTAGACTAAAGGGGATCTTGAGTGGTTTAATGATGGCTTCTTCTGTCTGTTCCATATGTGGGAGGCAAGAGGTTTGTATGTTCCTAAGCACCAAGGCACCAAGTTTGTCTTACTGTATCAATCATGGACAATAGAGAGAGAGGTGTCAAGAGCAGAACCAGGGAGCAATTCTAGAAGAAAAACAATCTAAAGAGAGCAAGTGAAATGTGGATGTAAGGGAGAGGAGTGTAAGAGATCGTTGTTTTGTTCAATGAAATAATTCCATGGCCCTGGCACATGTTAATATTCACGGTCAGACTGTGGGTGTGTGGTTGTGGGAGCAGGTAGGGAAGAGAGCCGTGAACACCCTCTTAGAAACTGATTTTCAGTGTTTGCCTTCATAAGGAGCTCATCCTCAGAGTTTTTAATATATATATCGGTGTGGTTGTGGGAGCAGGTAGGGAAGAGAGCCGTGAACACCCTCTTAGAAACTGATTTTCAAT